TCGGGCGCGTGCGCGGCGCGGTCTTCGGGCGCGTGCGCGGCGCGGTCTTTGGGCGCGTGCGCGGCGCGGTCTTTGGGCGCGGTGCGGTTCTCGGGCGCGGGCGCGGTCTCCTGCCAGGTGTTGTTCCTCTGCTCTCATTCCCAGGTCTCTGAACTCCGCCAGCAGCTCCGGAAGCGGGGGCTCCCTGTTTCGGGCACCAAGCCAGCCCTGCTGGAGCGTCTCAAGCCCTACCAGGTGTCCCGGGCCAAGCCACCCCCTGTCCCACTCTCCAGTACCCGCTTGGCCCCTGCTGACCTGGATGAGGAGGCCCAGGCCCTGCGGGAGAAGCAGCGGGTTGCTGAGAACCTGGTGCTGAAGCTCCACCAGGACCCGGAGCTGAAGCCGCATCACGAGGGTGACCTCCGTGTGGAGCTGGAGATGCACAAGCGGATCAAGAACCGTCGCAAGGGGGCGGCGCTGCCAGCCCCCAGCCAGCAGGGTGCTCCTCCGCCTTACGTCCCCAAGAGGGAGTGCACTAAGGAGCGAGGAGGCAGGGAAGATGGTTTCATGGTAAGCAGGCGGGTTGCCTGGGCTGGCCTCCGAGGCTGCGAGGGGCTCATTGTGAGAGGAACAGTCCAGGGCGTTTGTGCTGGGGAGGGTGGGCGGTCCAGATGGCAGTGAAAGAGGCAGCTGGTCTGTTTGCCTGTCAGTCAGCACTGTAGCACCAGAGGGTTGTGGGGAGGAACAGAAGCTGGGAACCGCGAAACACTGGGAATTAGGGGAAGGGGAGGAGTCAGAGAAAGGGGTCTGGCTTCCTGGCTCTGCTGGAGGGCTCCATGTGGGCCCCTGGGTCTGGGATTCTGCAGCCCTGTGTTAGGGAGGGTCGGTTTGGCCCTGCTGGGACAGCAGCAGGTTGACTTCTAGGAGGACTGCTGGATATTTAGAGAAGGGCCTGAGGCAGCAGCAGCTGGACTGGCCTCCCGCCACTTGTGCACCATTCTGTTTCCGCCAGGTTTTGTGCCCTCCGTCCTGCGAGCCAATTAATTCCGATATGGAGCTGCCCCTTGAGATCACAGCCAGCCCCTCTGCCCCAGCCCCTGCCCCAGGAACCCGTTCTCTGGAGGAGGAGCTCCAAGAGGCCATCCAAAAGGCTCAGGTACTGCAAGGATGGGGATGGGGCACCTGCCGAGCGCATCCCACCCTCCCAACCTGGGTGGTCAGTCCACTTCCTACTGCTTTTGCTTTGCCTGTAAAACGCAGACTTAGGATAAGAATCATCCTTTGGCTGAAGAGGCCTCTTCAGTGTCCTTTAGTCTCTGTGCCACACTGGCTGTCTTCTCTCTCCCCTCTCCCTGCAACATTTGTGGGTGCCTAGCTGTATAAAATTATCATTATCACCATCAACCACAATACATTTCAGGGCTAAAGGCTTGCCTTGAAAAATTCTGAAGATGAGCTGCCAGACTGTATTATGTCAGAGCAATACAACAGGGGAACCAGCTGCCCAGAGAGGTGGTGGGCTCTCCCGCACTGGAGACATGCAAAACGAAACTGGGCAGCCAGCTGGACGGTGTAAGGTGGTGTCCTGCAACAGCAGGGGTTGGACTGGATAGCCCTCATGGCCCCTTCCAGCTCTACTATTCTATGATTCTCTTGACCACAAACATAGCTGAAAGTCAGCACTGTGCTAAAAAAAGAAAGCCCTGCCCCAGAGCTGGGTGAGTGGCCCCTTTATAGCATCTCTTTCCTTCCCTTCCTTTTGTGCAGCTGGTGCCAAGCCAATCCATTGAAGAGATCTTGGAGGAACCGCTGATGTGTACAGGTGAGAAAATGGCTCCCGTCTCCTGACTGACCACCAGGGGGCAGCCTTCAACCAGATTCAGCTGAAGGAAAAGTTGAGTAGCAAGCAAGCAAAGAGCTACAAGAACAAAGATGTGGTAACTGGGTCTCAGGCCGGTTTCAGAATCAGTTTCTCTGTCCTGGAAACACAACCCCTAAATCCAGATAAGCAGGGTATGCTTCTTGGTTATTCAGTGGGGGAGTCGCATGGCCACACTCTCAAAGCCACAGTTCACACATTACAGTAGAAGCAGGTCGGCCGTCTGTTGTGAGCCTTGATTCAAATGAATCAGAAGAAGGTTTATCCTTTCTTCTCCTCCTCTTCTTTTTATAGGCAACCTCCTTCAGGCGCCTGCCCTGACCCCAGAAGTCCCTGACAGAGTTGCCCCTTCCCCACTTGCCCACCAAGAAGCATCACCACCGAAGAAGCGCCGGTCCAGCAGCGAGCTTCCTCTGGTGGCCTCTGCCATTTTTGATTTCCCTGGCCCCTACGATTTCCTCTCGACAGCCTCCTCTTCGTCAGCGTCGCTGGACTCGCTGTCCTCCGTGTTCTCCCCTGACTCTCTGGAGATGCCCCCGTCTCCCCCAGATGCCTGGCGAGGGAATGGGACCCGTGCTGGATTTGACCCCGTTGATTGGCTGGAGGCCTTGACCTCAGGCTCCACATCAGGCCTTGGCTCCGCTAGCCCTGCTGGCAGCAGCATCTTCTGCACGGACTTCTTTGATTCTCCTGACCTCGGTGTCACCCACATGATAGACCTCATGGTGGAACAGTGGTAGATGCAGCACTTGTCCCCAAGGCCTGAAGGAAACGGGGAAAAATTCTCCTTTATAAACTGGAAGGCCATAGCATTCTTGCCTATACCAGCCCAAATGGTGTTTGAACTGTAGACATCTAGCTTTGTTGCAGAAGGTCTTGTTCCTGTTAATGCCAAGTCCACTTGCTCCCATGGAAGAATCAGGTCACCAATTCCGGGTTGTGTTAAGATCATACTTCATCTTGAATGGTTAGCCAATCCCATAAACTCTAGTTGTTTCCGGTGAGGTGTCTTGTCTTGAGACAGATGAAACTGATGAGCCAGCCACAAGAGATAAAAATTATGGTTCAGGGCATCGCTAGCTTTTACAAGCCACTGTAGATGAATCAAATGAGGATTTTTCAGTGATGTCAACTTTTACTGTCATCTTGAAGCACTTAAATGGATTTAGAACAGCACTGGTTTTGGATACCATCTTGCCTGGAAGCGAACAGTTTATGCCTGGATCCTTAACTTTGGAAGCCACCTTGGATAAAATTTTGGTGGGTGGGTCTTCCCAGTTCTGCCTGTCACCTTGAACCTTGGATGTCTGCATCATGTCAACTCTAGAAGTCATTAACAGGATGAGAAATGCTGTGGTCCAAGAAATGGCATCTTCAAGAGACCATGTTGGCTTGGTTGAACCCTGAGGATAATAATGCCAACTCTGCACACATCTGGACTGATCCACTGGTTTAGATGCACCGTGCTTGAGGATGCGAACCATGGAAGCAACCTTGCTGGGACTTGCCATCTTGTTTTATTGAACCGAGCAGAAAAAGGAAAGTGCCAGCATTTTACGCCATTCGGATTGTGCCATCTCAAGCCTATGTGGTGGTGAAGGAAAAATTGCAATTTTCAGGGGCCACCCCAAATGGGCCGCACCAACACTGGCAACCTCATTTTTTCTTGAGCAGGGGTGTGGGGAAAGAAGAACACCTCCTGTGCTGGGGACCGTACCATATTTTTATAGCTAGTCAAAGAAATGCTGTTGAAAGAGAAGGTACCAGCTTTAGTGGATCATGCCAAGCTAATTCTTAAATTCTTATTTTCATTTTTACTTGGTGTTACAAAGTGGAGGGAATATCTGCATATACAGGGCTCAGAACCAGTATTTGGGCAGGGGAGGGGTAGTGGGGCAGTTCCCTAAGGGCACTGCTCATGGAGGTATCTATTTTGGCAGAGAGGTGGTGGTGGTGGTGCATACTGTTCCAGTAGCCAAAGGTTGCTGGGAGATTCAGACCAGGGCGGTTATGGAAGGATGTGGGCACAGCTGTGGCAACTTGGGGCATCTCATGCTGCAGCTGGTCATCCCCTCGCCACTGGAATTCCTGGGAACTGGAGTGCTGCGAGAAGGTCCAGGGCAGTCTAGTAAAGGATTCCCATCACCCTCACCAAGCGGCATTTCCCAGGAGTACTGGGGGAAGAGATGGCAGAGGCTTGGCTGTTAGAGCAGACAGGAGTTTTGGACACAGATACGCGTCTATGGCAGGCCTGGGTGGTGATAATGAAGTGGCAGTCCGACATTTCCGGAAGGCACTGAGCTGGGGAGAGGAGCCTTAAGACATGCTTGCACCTGGGTGCTCTACGCAGTCGGCTAAGCGCACAGTCCCGTGGGGATAACATGAACCCTCAGAACTCGGAAGCTTCCACACATCCAGGGGTGGATGGGAGTGGCATGGAGGTTAGAATGGTTTCCTCCCCTCCCCTCCCCTCCCCTCCCCTCCCCTCAGAGGTATTTAGATGGCCAATTCTGGATGTCTAAATGCCCCTGCTCTGTGAGGAGTAGAGGCTGCGACCCTGCCTGGATTTGATGGACTACAGCGGTGCTTCGCTTCTCCCCCCAGAATCCCCTCCCAGCAGCTGCCTCAAAGACCATCTTTCACGTTCAGGGCTGCAGCTGGTGTGGGGAGAGCCGGGATGGCAGAGTCCCCCGCCAAAAGCAGGGTCCCCTCTGTTGCAACCTTGGGGCCCCACGGCAAGGACACAGCCTCCACTTTCCCAAGGTAGTAGCAGGAACTCCACCTTCTCCTCTGGCTGGCCAGACAGCATCTGCCAGCCATAGGATTGTGCCCCAGGGAATCCTGGGTGTTGCAGTTTTTTGCTGCCTAAGTGTGCTTATGACCGTGCCTTAAGAGACGCTTGAGGTCTGAGCTGGGGAAAACATGGTCCCTTGGGGGTTGTTGGACTGCAACCCCAGTCTGCTCAGTCAGTGCAGGCAGTGCTGATAAGGAATTATGTACATAGGAGTGGAAGCCACTGTGCTGCAGAGCGCACGCTCTTTGCCTGTGGCTGTCGCACACGTAGCATCTTTTCTTGAGGACCAAGCTCAGGGAAAACAAGGAGAGGGGTATGCGGAGTTGCTGATTTGATGGCCTGCCTGTGACATTAGGAACAACCTCCTGTGCCTCCTGCTTCCCAGAACAGTTTTTCAGCTTCAGGACAAGGGATGGAGGCTTGTTTTTTTAAAAACTGAAAAAAAACCCCAAAAACTAATCATCTGCCATTTGTACAAGAGAGGGCTCTAGGAAGCCAAAAAACTGGAGACCCATCCGGGGCTGGAAACTGGCATTCTGCACGTGAGGAAGGATGTGTGTCATTGCAAAAGTTGGAGGGAAGCCAAGCCGACGTCACAGGGGCAAACGAGCGCGTTGGCCCACGCTCCCACCTTGGTCTGCCGGCCATTTGACTGCCAGAGCGGATAGTGCGAGAGTGAAGCGCTTCAATATGCTTGAGACCAACAAAAGTGCCAGTCAGCCTTCTCCAGTCCAATGCCCTCCAGGTATGTTGGACCACAAATCCCATTAACCCCTACCAAGCACAGCTGGGCTTTCTGGGATTTGTCTAGCACATCTGGAAGGGACCAGGTTGGGGAAGGCTGGTGTAAACATACCACTCACAGCATGTGGCACTGTTGCTGGAGAACCGGCAGTGTGCACAGGATCGCTGCTGTGTCTCTCCCTTTGGATTCCCTGGCCTTGGTGAACCAGGCACAAGGTTGGAGGCTTTGGCCTTTAGGGCCGTGCTCCTCTCAGGCAGGTGCTCTGGCCCGTTCAGGGTCATTCTCAGTAAGCCGTGGGGATCCTGTGCACAGCTGTGCTTCTGACACCCAGACCCCGGGAGTCGTGCCTGTCACCACCTATCCTGCTCATTTCCCCAATAAACACCATTTCTCGCCACCTCAGATTTGGGTGGGTGTTTCTTCCTTTTTCTCCCCACCAACCTCAGGTGAAGCTGACTAGGATCAAGAAGCGTGCCGTGCTACGGCGGAGGAACACGGCAAGTCCGGAGAAAGGCCACGAAGAGACCCAGTGTGGGCAGGATCAGTCAAGATGAGGACGTGGCGTCTCCTCGTCCGTGGCAATAGCACCCCTTGTGGTGAGCACCCCGGAGTAGCGTCCTGGAGAGCGAAGAGCCAGTGCGGTCCCGGGATGCCTTCACCCTGCAGCCTGCTGGTTCTTTGCTGGACAGCCTGGCTCAAGTTAGGCCTGGGAAAGCAGCCCTCTGGCTCTCTCCTCTTGCCTGCCCCTTCCCTTTCTCTCTGTTCCAGTTGGCCATGCCCTGCTTCCTGCTTGCCTCACCGGCCGCTCTTTCAGGGGGAAGGATGCAGCTCGGAGCAGAGAATCAATGAGGCATTGGCTGCTCAACTGCTTTTCGATGTCGAATCATCTCTCCAAATCACTCTCTCGCCCCACTGTGGCGTTCTGAGCCTGTTTGTGAGATGTTTGGTATGGAGAAACCGCGGATGGGGAAAGAGTTGAGTGCTGTATCCAGAGCTGCTGGATCTCGTTGGCACTGGGTCCCTCCTCAAACCTCACGAAAAGCAGCATTACGTGTCTCTCTCTTGGCATATGCACTGTCTCCCCAGTTTCCCCCTCTGCACCTCTTTAATCTTCCCTGGGGAGGATTTAAAACACACCAGTGGCCCTGAAAGCAGCCTGCCAAAACCAGAGATTTTTTCCTACAAAACCCAAAAGGAGTCTTTATCTAGTGAAATATATAGCTTCTGTCTTGGCCCGTTCTCATAAAATAAACCAGCAAGTACAACAGAAGGATGGTCTGAGGCAGGTATTGGATCCCGAAAAGGCGAGAGGGTGAAGCCTTCACATTTCTACCATTTCCGATGACTCGCTTTCGCTCCCACTCTCGTTCTTGCTCTCTCCTTCCTCTTCATCACTAGAGTCATCTTCCTCATTGTTACGACGATAATAGCATAAGCTATAAGAAAAGGCAGAGAGAGAGTCGGCCACTGCGGAGAGATTTTCTCCACAAAAGTGCTTCTTTCAGGGAGCTCTCTGCATAGTAAGCAATGCGATTCCCCCACCTTCAGTCCCAAGAGGTACAATTCAGGGCCAGCCCTACCATTAGGTGGAGTCAGGGCAGCAGATGCTGGGACGTTCCCTGGCTCAGTGCCAGAGAACAGCGTGGTGTCTGCCCGGCTGCCTGCTCGGTGCCCCCTAAGTTAGCCTGCTGCCCTCCGATGCAATGGGGGGGGACCGGCACTGAAGTCCAGCTCAACTGCCGCTTCTGTTGGCTTCTTTCTGTGTTTTCATGCTTAGTGCGACATGGTGGGAGGCGGCTCTGAACAGGGGTGGGGGCATGGAGGGTGCCGGGACCTCCTTCCAGCCACCCCCCGGGAGCAGAACATCACGGCAGGCGCCAAGACTCACAACATGACGATGATGATGATGAGCAGCCCGCCGGTGCTCCCGATCACTATCCAGACTGTCCAGTCTGCTTGAGGAGGGGGGGCCCGGGAAGAGACCCCTAAGGTAAGCGGGCCTTCTCCCACCGTGTGCGGCCGGGGAAACCAGGTGGTCCTCCTAACTGAAGTCAGCACTGATGGCGGAGAAAGGGGAGATTAGGAGGAGAACTCCGGGCAGGAAAGAGGAATCGGGGCTCCTGTTCTTGGGAAAGAAGAGAATGATTCATCTGCTTGACCTTTCATTAATAATTAGAACCATTAAAAAGCACCCCTGATTAATTGGGCAACACCCGTGCGCAGCAGGTAAACATCTTAGAAGAAATATTCCCCCTTCATTTGCACATGGGTGGAATGGCTAATCCATAATACTGACCCTGAGGAAGTTCAGGTTGAGGGCAGGATTCCTCTTGGCATGGAAAGGTTGGCCATGGAACAAGAGCAAGAAATTGGGTGGGTGTCTGTCTGTCTGTCTGTCTGTCTGTCTGTCTCTCTCTCTCTCTCTCTCTCTCTCACACACACACACACACACACAACTTTCCCTTCCTTCCTTCCTTCCTTCCTTCCTTCCTTCCTTCCTTCCTTCCTTCCTTCCTTTCTGGCTTGTAATGAGTCACTCACTGCCTAAAGTCAGTAGTCATTATTTTCAACCAACTAATCAGAGGAGCCTATGTAAATTAGAATAATATTGATATTGTTTATTCTAAGTATTTAGGCCAATAACATGCCACAAATGAATAATGTGCATAAACATGGGATAATAGATTTGTTTCCAAGCTCCCTCTGCTGGCACCTTGTCAATGCTACAGCTTCCCAAAATAAAAACACATACAACTTCATTGGGTGGTCATGAAAAGAGAATTTAGGGCAGTCTCTTCAAACCCAGCACCTTCCAGTGTGTTGGGCTAAAGCCCCTATACCCCCATCCAGCATCTTCTCTAAACTCAGAAAGCCAGTGAGTCGAGTCCACCTTTCCCCACATGATGTCCTCGGATGTCATGCCGCTATAGCTCCCATTAACCCCATGCAGCACACCCAATAGCCCAGGAAGATGGGAATTGCAGGTAAAAACATTTGGAGGGACCCAACCTAGGGAAAGGGAGGAATAGGCAGGACTGGGCTACGTGGAGCAATGGACATTTTCAGAAGGGGAGTGCAGGAAAATCTCCCCACACATCCATAACAACATGAGAGAAGCCATGCTGGGCCCTTCTCGTCCAGTGCTCCACACACACGGTGGCAAACCAGCTGCCCACAAGCAGGATGGCTGCAAGACCCTCGCTTGCCCGAGCTCCTCAGCAATCGGTGCATGCAGGCGTGCCTCCGCTGGCAAAGGAGGTCGCCCATAGCCAGCAAAACTAGTAGTCACGGATAGCCTCCTCCTCCTCCACGAACCTGTCCAATCCCCCCTTTTAAAGCCATCCAGATTGGTGGCCATCGCCTCTTCCCGTGGCAGAGAATGCCGTAGTTTCATGATACACTCTATGGAGAAGCACCTCCTTTTCTCTGTCCTAAACCTCTCACCAATCAGCTTCATGGGTTAACCAGAGAGGGAGAAAAATAACACCTCTGTCATGGCCGCCCAGCCCGCAAGCAAGCACCTGCTGTCCCCTCTTCTTGCCATCTGTTGTCTGGGCGACAGTGAGAGGCAGTGAGCAAGCAAGCTGCAAAGGCAGAGGAGGAGCAAGACTGGGGGTCTCCCAAGCATGCCTACGCATGACACTGGCCCTCAAGGTGCTCCCATCTGGGAAAGGATTCCTCCTGACACAGGAGCTGGAAATGCACCCATCGCGTGTGTGGACAGCCCTTTCCCATGCACATCAACCCCCGGCTGGGGGACATGCGCCAGCCTCTAGCCCACACAGCACCATTGCGCTGAGCACAAGGCGGGAGTCATCGAAACCCTGCCAGGGCGAAGCAGCGCGAGATGTGTGCATTTGCTTCACTCACCTACTACCTGGAAGTCGAGCTGGCTGGCGGGAAAGCCATCCGGAGCCAGCATTTCACACTGGTAGCTGCCCGTGTCATTTATGTTGGCCTCTTTCTTCACCAGGAAGGGATCTGGACCACTGGCCAGCAGCTGCTTTTTGCCATTCACCACCTGAGGAGGAGGTGGGCAGGGCTGGGTGTGCGTGGGGAGAATCCTCTCTGCGTGCGTCACATGAGTGTCGTGAAGGGTGGAGGGGAAGCATCTGAGCTGAGGACTGTCCTGGTTTTCGGGAAACCTATCAGGGAGCTCATGCCAAGTGGAGGGGCAGGAGAGGCAAAGCCCCAGAGGGGAGCAGCTGGAACTCAAAGTAGGCAAAGCCCTCCCTTTGCCCCCCCCTCTCTCTCTCTCTCACACACACACACACACACATGCTATTCACTCTTCTCACACCCATCCACACACTTGTAGCCCTGCCTGCTGTTACTGCAGGAGCAAAGAAGAAGTCCCTTTGGGAATGGCTGCTCTTCCTAGTGGATTTCAGCAGTGTCTCCATCTCCCCTCGTCCTTCTCCAGGGGTGGGGGCAGCAGATGGAGGAAAGGCCTTGGCAGAGGTGAAGGGGTGGCGGGCAGGGCAGGGCAGGGCTTCCCCTGCACCCATTGCAGGGGTTGGACTAATCCCAAAACAACCTAGATTCACACCCCCCTTTGGACATGAAGCTCAAGGAGCGAACTGCGCCCAATGCAATCAACCACCCCGAACTCAGCCAAAGGAGGACAAAACTATCATTAATCCACAAACTCCCCCTTGTGGAAGTGCTACGGGTCAACAGAGTTTGGTGGCAATAGCGGAAGGCCTGGGGGAAGCTTGGTGAGCCAGTATCAGCAAGGGCTGCCCACTAGGGGGTGCTGCCTACCCGGTAGAAGTTGTATCTCTTCACACCATGGCTTTGCTTGTGCCAGGTCAGAGCACAGTCCAGGATCAGATCTTCATCCAATTCCACCTGCATCCTTCTTTCTGCAAAACCCACCAGCATCTTTTTCACTGTGTGGCCTCACGGGCGACTCCTTTAAATTGGATCTACAGGCGCATCTTGCCCGGCATCAGGCCACACGTTCTGCCACCCGGGCTGAGAGGATGTGGCTGTTCCACGCATCCTCATCCAAGACCCCACCCATCCGGTCCAGCCTCGCAACCCCTCCCAGGCCTGCTTTCTGGTCTCTCTCACCTCCACACTGGATGTTCTTGTAGCACGAGTGCTGATTTGTTTTGCAGGAGTAGCAGCTGATAAGCGTGTAAAGCATCCGACCTGTGGGGCAGCCAGGGGTCTGATCAGAGGAAGACCAGAAAACAGAGGGGCGGGTGCAGTTGGGGAGCAGAGAAACTCTCTGGCTGCTGAAGGGAAGGAAGAAAACAGCTTGGATGGAGAAGGTGCAGCAGCAGCGAGGCGATCTCGCAAAGCAGATCGTAGGCAGCAGCATTGGAAATACGTTGCAGCGAACATGGCAGTAGTCAGCCTGTGCCCCCCCCCCAAGTCATAACCCCCCCTCACTATTAGCTATCTTGGCTGAGGCCGATGGGAACTGTAGACCAAAACATTTGAAGGAGCAACCGTGATCCACACCTGAGCTAACTGCTCGCTTTTTTCACTTGCAATGGAAAGTATACCCTGATAGAGGCCACAGAGAGGAAGGAGGGTTGACGTCCCCTACCTCCTATGCTTACTCTAGAGTAAAACAGGAGAAAAGGCATCACAGATCCATCTGTACAGGCAAGTCCGCTTCAGGTCACACAGCATGGATTGCTGGGGCACATGCCAAGTGGGAGATCCTCCTGCACAAGCCTTGAAAGGAAATACCGCTGCTGCTTTTGGATTGCATGTGCTCCAAAGAGGCCAAAGTTGCTGATGGATCCCTGCCCTTGTGCCTTGGGAAACACACTGGCATGCAGAGATTGGCACATGAATCTTCTTCTGGCATGAAAACATAGGCCAACCTTCCACAACCTAGTGCCTGAGGAGGATGGGATTTGCAGTGCAATGCATCTGGAAGGTGCCAGGTTGGAACAGGCTGAAATGGACATTGTTGCTTCCTGGTTTTGGCACTGCCTTCCTGCTTTTGAACAGTCCCGGTACGAGAGGCCAGCTGAAAAGGGAGCTCCCCCAATTATGATTACAATACACCCCTAACACTGCAGAAGCACTCTTTCCATGTTCCACCGTGCTTAAACACGGCCATTTGGATCTATGGTTTGCAGGGTCATTTGTCGGCCCCACGTGGCAAAACCCCTCTCAGGAGCTCCTGAGGGACCAGGCCGCAGCAGCTGAGCAAGGCTTTGAACACAGAAGGTGTTGGGTCTAAACACATGTTTAGAGCAGCCCCACTGCAATCGATGAGTCGTACTGTGGTATAATGGTTAAGAGCATGGCTCTGTGACTCAGGTGACCCCGTCCCTGCTCAGCCATGGAGCCAACTTGGTGGCTTTGGGCCAGTCACAGACTCTCATCCTAACCTACCTTACAGGGTTGTTGTTGTGGGGATAAGACTGAGAGCAGGAGAAGGAGAATAACGTAAGCTGCTCTGAGTTTGTTATAAGAAAAAATATAAATCCAACAAATTTTAAAAATTAAGTCCTGTGGGTTTCACAAGATCTACTCGAAGCATGAACAAATCTGGGTCCAAGCCCTGGCTTTGTTAGCCAGGACAGACACAGATAAAATGTGAGGAGAATATTCCCTGGATCTGAGCCAGTAGGTAGCTGTTGCCAGTCCGAGTACGCAGCAGTGCCAACAAGCAGGGAAAACCAAATGTAAGCATCAATCTGCAGGGAACATTCCTCATGTTGGAAGGACTGATCTGTTTACCTCAGACATCTGGAGGTAATTTCGCCAGCATCTGGCTGAAGAGAAGCAGAACACCCTTTTCTCTATCCCCTGACAGACCAAAGTCTCCTGCTGTGGATGGAGGCAGAAATTGCCTCTCCCCCACTCCACTGATAAAGGGACGTCCCTTATGAAACTCACATCATTTCTGCCTATTTTACAGGTATAACTAAGAACCAGAAGTCTTACTCCGCCATCCAGTCTGTGGTATAGTTAGGTAATATGGGGGCCCCATGAGACTCAGTGGTTTTATAGGGCTCCTTGTTAGATGGCAATGTCTACAACTGTGACTTGCCAGCTCTTGTGTGTTTTGGGTATCCTGCTCATTCTGCTCTGGGGGCCTGGACACCTGCCCCAGAGCCTGGGCCTGACAGCACCATTGCCTCCAGCCTCCTGGCTCATCTCATACTGCTGTTGTCCAGGTGGGAGGAAGTCGAGAGGTGGGCTGGGTTTGGCTTACAGCCCTGAGCTTGGCTACTCCTCTCCTGTGTGGACTCTCCTCTCCTTAAACCCATCCTTACCACAAGCTGGTACTTACCACATTCATTGCTGCAATAAACTGCAAAGAGAGACAGAAGGAAATTAGAAATTGAGGGGTTGGTTCCCCCTTCCATTGCCAAGTACCCAGTTAGAGCGGTCAGTAGCAAATTGTAAACAGATCTCTACAGCTCCAATCTGGCCACCATTCAGAGGATGGGGAGCAACCAGAGAAAGGACCCCAAATATGAACTCAATATGAGCAAGTTTGTGTTATCCTTCATACAAATAGGGTACATCATAGAAAGATAGGGAATATTAAGTTAAATTAGACCAGGCTTCCCCAACCTGGCAACCTCAGATGTGTTAAAATACAACCTCCATAATCCCCAGCCAACATGGCCAATGTTCTTTTAATCCAGACCCCTGAAACCCATTTCTTTAAAGATATTTCACACAGCTTACTCTTTGTAAATTTTGGCATTAAGTCCTTAAAAGTGTCCAACAGCCTCTGGATGCCCTGAGACACTTCATTATAAAGCTGTCCATCTGTAAAGGAAATGCAGAATGTAAGGGGCGAGGCATGCAATGAGTCGAAGGCTGAACATGCGCTTTGCTCTGCTGATTCTGAGCTCCAGAAATAGACCCAGGGTGGACCAGGGATGCTTGCTGGTGTGGGCTCCAGAAGGCAGCCACACAAACTAAAGTGTGCAGCTGAGTTTAGTTCCCACTGGCTTTCTGTCACACTTCCCAAATGTGCCCAGTTCCTGTTTAGTTCCTGTCTCAAAGACATATCATGATAATCCTTGCTTTGGGAGGACATACATTAAACTATTTGTATTTGGAAAGAAAATGCATTCAGAAAAAGGTATTCTAAAATTGCATAATCCTCAATCAGGCTGTAAAAGACTTTTTTGGAACAGCGCAAAATGCAAAAAAAAAGTTGAACTATCAGGCTACACATATTGCATGCAGTACGGAATGGCTTGTTTTTGAGGTCATAAGGTCTGCACGTCAATGCCTTAAGAAGATGGAGTTTAAACTATACAAAGAAGCTGATTTTTTTAAAGTGTGCAGATGTATACAAAAATTATGAGTAAGGACATGAAAGAGGGATATGGACCACAAATAGATGGCTCTTTCCTTTCCTAAAGAAGTACTTAGGGCTGTTTTGCTCCAGAAGGGCCACCAGGTGCCGCTGTTCAGTGGCGGTCAAGACGGAAAATGGGGAGGGAATATGATGATTGTAGGTTTAAAAATGACAGATTGTGTGTGTGAATGAACTGGGCAGCAAAGGCAGAGCCATGTCTGGTGTGGTGGGATCTAGTTAGTCTCGGCCATGAAGCCAACTTTGGGCTAGTCACTCTCCGGCCTACCTCACATGGTGGTTGTTGTAATGATAAAATTGAGCTTTGTAAGCTACCTCGAGATCCTCACATGAGGAACACAAATGCAACAATATAATCATAGTATGTTGAACAGGCATGTCTTGAAAGTCCAGACACAGGAGTGCCCTTTGTTTAATTAATGCATTCCAGTCTATCTAGAAATAAATTCAGGCTATTCTTAATGGTCACCAGGGTGGCAACAGCAGTCTTGGGTATTCCTTTTGGGCCACTTGATATCTTTCATTTTAGCACATTTCTACCTTCAAAGTCATTTTCTATGATTTGGTTCACAAAGCGTTTGAAATAGGTGGTGAGTTTTCCTAAGGTGAATTCATCTGCAGAGGATGAAAAAGAAGGAAAATTAGAGGAAGGGAAGTAGCAAGCAACCTCCTTTCTTGCTCATCCAGGCACACACATGGGCACAAATACCCGTATCAAAAATATGTTTAGGCTGGCTTTTAGGGCAAGAAATCTCCAAAGGTGGCTCACCACAATAAAATTTATCTCACAAAACCTGCTACAGTAATAAAATAGCAAATATTTGTTGAGGTCAAAGGGTTAAAGGTCGCCACATTGGATGGTACTGTCCATCTATATTTATTTATTTCATTTTTGTAAAACTCAATGACCAAAGTTTTCTGGGCAGTTCACAACCATTGATAAAATTCATCAAATAACAAACAATAAACAAATTGCAAAACACTCAATAAAATGTCAATATTCCAGATTTAAAGCCATTTAACCTACTAAAACACTATTAATAAACATATGGACCATGTCAAAAAGACAGCTAACTTAAATGCCTCACTATATGCCATTATATATCCTCAAATGTCTGGGAGCAAGGGATAGTCCTAGCCCAGTCTTTAAGATGCCACAAAACAATTTTCTGCAAGAGTCTAACATGGCTACACCGCTGGAAATTATTTCAACAAAGCAAAACCCATTTCTGAATGGACATGCATAGACCTGGGTTGAAAAAGGTTAATCTCCCACATTCCTTTTTCTTTTGTTCTTTTTTAAAGATTAAAACAAATATACACTATCAGGAAGAAAAAGTCACCTGCCCTCAAATGTACAACATTCAAGCAAGAATGTCCACCGGTCACCAAACTGTCAGATCTCCTCAGCCCAGGGCAGCAGCTGCCTGGACATTTCGCCAGAGGCAAAAGAGAAACTGACACACTAAGAACCATTCCAGCTACAGAAGTTAGTTGATTTTACTTTAATCCTAGGGAAAGGGCAGCGTTTGCCCACTTGCAGCCCAGCTTCACTCTACATACTGCCTGGGAGCTGTAGGACTTTATTGTCTAAATTTGCATGGGATTGCAAATTTAGAACGATAGGAAAGTAGAAGAGGGAACTTGAAATTTCCCATCCGCTGTTAGCTGTATCTGGTTAGTGGATGGAACAGGCACCAGTTCCCCAGTCATGGTGTTTCCCCACTGTGGCAAGGTGTATTGTATTTCTAGTCAAATTATACTAATTATTTCTAAATTTGCATTGACACTATATACAATTTTTTATAACTGCATGTTCTCTTTGCCTCTCTTTCTTTCAGCTACCCTATCTGGCTTGTTTTGTTAAGCAGCAGTCATTTCAGTTTTTGATAGATTGTTATTTAAAAAAAATATATTATCTATTGTATAATTTATATGATGTTGTTTTATTGTTGGTTGTACACCACCCAGGGAGTTCTGTGTGGGACTATCATGTGCAGTCTAGAAATCCAATAAGTAAATATCTCTCATAACCACTCATCAAACATTTGATGGAAGACAGATGTAGGCCAATCAACTCATTCTTATGAATTAAAACCCCATCCCTGTCCATGCTACACTGATTTAAAACTTCAATGTTTAAATTATCATAGATTATCTGGAATGTTTAAATGATCTGATCTATTTTCTGATCTATTTTCAGATCCTTTTCTCTAGCGGAAAGTCTGTCGAAGCTCTATATAGCAGCAGCGGAAAGGAGGGGAAAATTTTCTTTTGGCTTTCCCAGGAAGGAAACGATGAAGAACAGCAGCCTGGATACTGCAGCCAGTGCTCAGCTGGGTGCCCACATCAGACCTCCTCCTGAGCTCTCTGCCTTATTTAGTGCAAAGTCAAAAAACCCCAGCATGTTTTAACTTAAATTTCTTACTGCCAGGAGCTAAGAGTTAGGAAATGCATGTCAACTTTTTAGAATGGAGAAAAAAGTGCAAACCCTGACCAGTTTTGGTGATTGGAGACAGGTTGAGGAGAGAGGAAGAAGGAGAGGGGCCTTCCAAGGAACCCCCAAGGGTCAGATTGTGGCCCCAGGCCTGAATTTCTGCACCCCTGATTTACTGCCATTTAGGATATGTAACAATTCAATTCTTATTTCTAAGCCGGGCCTCCAAGAGCTTTTCTAAACAAGGCTGTTCATCTGCTGCATTTATTTTTGGTTTTCTCATAGAATTACAATCTCAGTGCTGCACACGGACATTTTCTTTCCTGCTTTTCTGATATGCACACTCTACCTGGCACTGTGGTGTAGCAGAATACCACAAATTCACAAAAGGAAATTGGACTTCTTACTTCAGAATTAAATGCCACATTTATCTGCTCTGAAAGAACTTCTAAACTCCTAGTAGACATAAAAATGAAGCCAGAAGTTTACATGGTCCAAAGAGCCCATAAACAACCATGAGTAAGAATGATAAGAAAGGCCATATAGAAAAGACGCCATGTGTTAATTGCCCCGTAATTAATGCAATGTGGTAATATGATCCCCCCCACTCCCGCAAAGTTCTGTTATATAGTTATAGCTCCTGTGCTTAGAAATGCATCCAGATTCTAACAGTGGGTGTGGAGCACGTTTTCATCTCAATGCCACCAGAATTTTTCTGTAGGAGGGAGGCCGTAATGGAAGCCTCCATACCAATAACACCCATGTATTTTTCCAGATCTATGGGCTGATATGACAGCGTCTCTACAGTGTTGTCCAGGAGGCTGTCCAGCTTCGTTTTAAGTTCTGGGTCCCTGCGGAGTTTCGTCTCCAAGTAACGATCTTTGAATTCCCTCAAGACCGCCATGGCATCCCAGCTGCACTTCAGGCAGCTGTGAGATCCTGGGATAGTCAGGGCTGTTAGCCAAAACACTAGCCCAGACATCACACTTGGCTGTGGTTGCCAGAGAGGGGCTGCTGGAGCGCCCGAGAGTGACATCGTAGCTATGACATCACAAAGCTGCCATGCTCACAACCAAGAGAAGCACAAGGTGGATCTTGCACTTTAAGAACGTGGCTGTGAGCCGTCAAGAAGAAAGCAGGCATTTAAGTTTATTTCTTCCTCTGAAATGGGCAAGGGCGGTAATTTGGGACTTTAAGCTTTCAGTCAGAATCCACCAAGTATTTGCCAAGGCTATGCTGAAGAAAATTTAGCTTTTCTCCTCATTGGTATACTTTCGGTGCAATCCTTAACATTTCATTTCTTAGCTCCCTAGGCATCTGGGATACAGCACTCCAGTCGCAAGGCTGCGCGTTAGCACGTTGTCCTCCTGGGTCCCCTCAGTGCCAACACAGAACGAACTGGCACCAGCATCCTTCCCTTCTCTTCCAAAATGCCATTGCAAGCTACCCAAAATGCCCATCCAGTGGAAATGCAGAACAAGAGGAGCAGGGAGGTGATCACTTCCAGCGCTCCTTCTGTTCTGTGCTGGATGCCTGTTGGTGATCAGGTCTGGGGACTTACAGAGCATCCTGATAGAACTGTGCTCTTATTCCTTCATTTATTTAATTTTTATGCAGCCCAATAGCCAAGGCTCAGCTCATTTCTCAGCAAATATTGGATGGACTGTGGAAATGCTCAGCCCCAGCATGAGAACAGGTGCTTTGCAGGCAAAAGACTTGTGGATGGATCCATGGCATCTCTGGGCGGGCCTAAGAAATAATCAGAGGAATGGAACTAGGCTGGTTGGCATCACGAGAGCCAAATTGTGGCAAATCTGTCAATTTTTGTGTGTGATGGCATTTTTGTGCTACAATAATAATGATTCACATATACCCCACCATGAAATGGCATGCAAAACAGCATTGGTTACAGGATTAGGCTTGGGCGGTGGAAACCTTTAGCAGCTTTTATTAGAATTATTAATATAAACATTGGCTAGTGCAGATCTACATTTAGTGATACGCTTATTTTTTTCTACAATCCTTCCCTATTCCTATGCGTCCAAATGCATGCAATCCCAAAGTCTTTCTATTTCAAAACTGAACTAGGCCTGAGACAACTCAGTTAAGTTGCGTTTTCCCAGTGAATTCTAGTCATGAAGAGTTGAACTTTGGACAGTCACTGCCATGCATAAGGCTGTTCTTACTTACTCATTTATTTATTTCATTTTTATACCGCCCAGCAACTGAGGCTCTGTGGTCCGCTAACAGAAGTAAAAAAAAACGTTAACATGTTTTGCATAGACATTGTTTATAACAGAGTTTCTGGCTGTATTTTTCTGCTTCCTTCGTGGAATTTTATCGGGTCCAAGAGTTTACATCATCCATTTGTAATCCCCCCATGTTTTCCTACTGTTTTTTCTTTCTATTTTCTTACTACAAAAAAGAGAAAATCATTAGAGCACAAAACTTTACATGTTTGGATAGCGGGGGGGGGGGGAGACAACGAAAAAGCACTCTGGGAGTTGTAGTTCCTTTTTTTCTGTCGAAAGGTGCATAGGATTATACCCTTAGGAAGGCACTCCTGCTGCAGAGCAAGTGGCCAAGGCTTGGCTGGATCAATCCTAGTGCCAGACAATGGTTTGTTGCAAAGTAGGAACGGTCGCACAAACCCCGAGGTTCAGTCCGCTAGTGCCAAACAAAGGATTGGGATCCAGCAGGACTTCCTTTAGATATTGATGAGCGCTATTGTCGCTCTGACATACGCATCAGCCTTTCCCTCATGGCAATGTTTTTCCCTCATCTCCGGTCTCCCCCCACAGCTGACCCTGCAGAGGTCTCTTCCCCAAAGCCTGCCTCCCTCTCCCCCCCCCCCCCCTTGGCCCTCCCCACCCGCCACGCCTCATAATCTTCCAAATTCCTGGGCCGTGTCACCCTTTCATCGCATCTTGTATATCGGGGCTCTGGGACCACCTGGCCCTGTGGGGTCAGAATAACTGTGGTCACGGTCTGCTCTGCATTAATTAACCTTTGATCCTTAACGGGCACCCCGGGGAAGGAGAGGCAGGGAGCCTCATAAATACAACAGGGAGATTAATACTAAGCAAGTAATTTCACTTTCAAGACATTTGGACAGCTGGGGAGGAAAAACGCCCATCAGATGGGGACTGGATGGAAGGGGGACAGCAATTTGGGAGCTGCGGGGGGAGGGGGCATCTCAGCCTGGAGTAGTAGAATAATTGCAAGGTTGCCAGTTTAAGAAGGGTGCTGAGGGAACCAACTTTGTCTGTTTTTGTGCTTTTAACAACAGTTTGATTTGCAGAGGTAAGTAGAGAAGGTTTTTCACAGCAGATAAATTTACTCCTGATGTCTATGTTGAATGCATAGTCTCAGAGGCTGACTGGAAAGTTGGCAACCCCAGCTGTGGGGGCCAGGGTACAGTATCTGGGTCTGTGGCACAGCTAGAAATTGATCTTAAATTGCATTGTAAGTGTCATAAACTTCAACATGTTTGAAGATTATCTTACAATATTTTTGAGAGTGGGCAAGGTGGGCCCCTCCAGATGTTCAAGCTGCAATTCCCATGTTGGCTGAATTGATGGGGAGTCATAGTCCTAAAGTTCTGGAATATTCCAGATTACCTAGCGAAGAGCTTATTATTTTCAACTGAATTCATGAAATTGAAATATGAATCATTACTAGATTTGTACGTGTATCATCTAAGACACATTTCTTGGGCCAAAAGGGAATTATGAAATGTTTGTATCCAGTGTATGGATTTCACAGATAACTGCAAGGCCTTGCCACCCCTGCCTCCCATATTAGTTCAGGGTTTGATAACTATTTACTTAATGCTATATTGCACCAGGACTATTTGCATGTTTACTTAGAAATAAGTCCTACTGTTGTCAGTGTGCTTTACTCTCTTGTAAATGTGTTTAGGATTGCAGCCTTGCAAACAAACCTTTGTATGCCTACTCAGAAGTATGGCCCACTGAGTTCAATGAGATTTAACTTCCAGGGAAGGTTGACTAGGATTGCACCAAGAGAGCACTGTCCTATGTGGCTTGCCCCTTATGTATGCAGGCCTCTGAACATGGAGGTTTACATTAATCTCATGAAAAGTGTGGAATGCAGTGGTAATTTCTGCTCCCCCCCCCCCCCATTAGGACCAGCACTTCATCTAGATGTCCATTTTCAGCTGTCTACCTGAAGCACCACAGAGGGGGAGGAAAGGAGGCAGGGGTGCTATTTGGATTTGACAAAGCTTCAGCCACCTCCTCTCCCTCTCTCTCCTGCAATGCCTCTCTGAGGCTGATTTCCAGCATCAGAGATGCATCCAGCATGGCTTTGTTCTGCACGAGCTGTGGGCATGGGGGGCGGACACAGCCCTGCATTCCAGTTCCCAGCTCTGCGGTTGGAGGACCTTGGAGCTAGTAGTCTGAATAACCCTGAACCCCCCCACCAAAAAAAAAAAAAAAAAATACCAGGAGGCCATAGGATTACTCTTGGAATCTTTTTGATATTCAACATTTGTGAATTTTGATTGCATATTAACTTTCTCCAATATGAAATACTATCTTGTGCTATCAAGTGTTGCAGAAATATTAGTTGCTTATTTAAATTTAATCAATTAGTTGAATGAAATCAGATTATTGAATTCACATTTTAATGAAACCTTGATATGTTTCCTTTTTGAGGATACTAAAAAAGGTTGAAGTGACTTTAATAATGTCAGTTTAACAAATTAGTAAGTTAATAACGAAAAACTAAGACTTTTCAGTCCAAGTGCCTTTATTCTAGAATATTCCATATTACAGTAATGTACCAAAGCCAAAATAGTTTTGTAAAGAACAAATTCAACCCCCATCAGCTTTTTCTCTCTTAAGGCAATTTCTATTTATTCTGCTAAAAATATAGCAGTCAAGGCAGCTATCAGTAAATTCACAAAAAGAAACGTTAAAATATAATAAAAGAGCAACATCTTTTCATGAAAAAGCAAGGTTTCAAAAGGTGATTTCAGCTCACTGTCCACTTCACTGCCTAAGCCTGTTGATTCTAGAAGGAACCAAAGGACAAATATCTGATCTGGGCACAAAGTGGAAGACAAAAGTCTCTAAGGCAGAAATCTTATATATTCTTATTTGGAAGTAGGTCAGATCCCACCAAAGACAGTGAAACTTGCATGACAGGAACTTGCACAGGACTTCCCATTTCTTTTGGGTTTAGTGGAGGAGGGAAAGTGGCATATCTATACGGATTGCTGTAGTGTGACTTTAAAGACAGTACCTTCCTTTTCTGAATTGCTTTTTCTCAGAGCCAGAGAAGGGGGCTTGGTCTCCAGACCCGTCCATAAACAACCTGTGGAGAGCAAACAGTTCACTCTGCAGACCAAATGTTATGTAGAGCAGCTCTGAGAAATACTCACTTTGGGCAAAAGCAGACATTACATTAAACATGTGTCTAGCGCTTGTGCCTTTTAAAAATTTTCACTGTAGAATAGATGCAGTCCTTTGATCTGGATCGGGACCATAATGATGTGGTTGACAGGGAGAGTTTTAAAAGACCTGACTGGGGGTGGACTGCGTGCTCCTGACTACAGATGAAAAGGACATAGTTGGTAGACACATACTTAAAATAATGTTTATTTTGGCCCTAATTTGAAACTCATGGTGGTGCTAATGTGCCTTACAGCATAGACTGGTCCTTAGCAGAAAAAGATGCCTCTCTTAGGGCACCATCTTATCTGTGGGGCATGCTGGGAGTTGTAGGCCTTTTTGTGCCTAAACTTGCATAGGATTGTAACTTGAGCAAATAACGTGGTCCTTATAGCAGTGACCCAAGAAGCAGGTCTGGCAAGCAGAATAGAAAGCAGCGTGTATGGAAGCCTCTTCAGCTCCTTTTGCTTTGGCTGTCCCAGGCACATCATCCAAGTGGCCAGCTGGCCATTTGCTCACAGCCTGGTGGCTCAAACAAGTTGTACCAGCCAGCTCAAAAATGTGATAATTTCTGAGGGAGAATAACTGCTATGAAAGTGACTTTCCCCCTCGGAATTGT